ATGCCCCAAACTCTGACAAGTGGTGGTGAAAAATCACCGTAATTTTTGTGTTTTTGTTTGTTTGTTTTGTAGTCCAGACTGGCCTTGAGCTCACAATGATCCTCCTGCCTAGCCTCCCAAGTGCTGTGATAACAGGGTGTGCAGCACCATGTCTAGTTTAAAAGTTTTTAAAACATGATCAGTTTGATAAGCCAGAAATGGTTTCTATTTACTGTATTTATTTATTTATTGGGTGTGGGTTTTTTTTTTTTTTTTTTTTTTTTTCTTTTTGAGACAGGGTCTCGCTATGCAGTTCAAGCTGGACTTGAGCTCACTTTGTAGCCCAGGGTGGTCTTGAACTTGCAGTCATCCTTCTGTCTCAGCCTCCCAAGTGCTGGGATTATAGGCCTGTGCCACCACGCCTGGCCTATTGGCTGTTTTTAAGAACAGTCTCCCTATGTAGTACTACAGACTGGCCTTAGGCTTACTCTTTAGGCCAGCATGGCCTCAAATTTGAGGTGATCTTCCTTTCCTCAGCATCCTGAGTGCTGGGATTACAGGTGTGCATCACCATGTCTGGTTTTCGTTGTTAATATTTGACATTTCTCTAATATCTTGTGAGAAGTGTATTTTGTATGTCTCTAATATCCTGCAACTTTTAAAATATATTGATCATCTTTATGTTTCTCCTTTGGATTACCTGCTTACCTTAGGTTACCTTGCTTATCTTTTACTTATCGCTCTGTGAGTTCTGTTGTGTTCTGTTTTGTTTTAAGACAGGGTCTCACTGTGTAGTTCAAGCTGGCCTTGTTCACTGTGTAGCCCAGGCTGGCCTCAAACTCACAGTGATCCTCCTGCCTCAGCCTCCCAAATGCTGGGATTATAGATGTGCACCACCACACCCAGCTGTGAGTTATTTTTATATATAAGATATTAATGATAGTAACTCTATGTTGCAGATACTCTTTTTGCTTTGTTGCTTACATGAGTAGAGCTTTTTGTTGGTTGTTCTTTCTTTTACAGCTTGTTTTGCTTTTATAATAGTGTAGTTTCATTCATTTCTATTTTCTACTTAATAAGTGAGCCCCCAAGTCATTGTTGATTGTTCTTGGTTTTGGGTTCCCTTACCTGGGCTGAGGAGAAAACAGGTTGTGAACTTTTTTGTTTTTATTTTTGAGGCAGGGTCTCACTATGTAGTGAAGGTTGGCCTTGAACTCACTATGTAGCCCAGCCTGGCCTGGAACTCATGGCCATCCTCCTGCCTCAGCCTCCTAAGTGCAAGGATTACAGGCATGTGCTACCATGCCCTGTGTGAACTTTGATTTTTAAAAAGATTTTTTTTGTTCAATTGGTATATGTTTATGATATATAATAATTACATTCATTTGGGGAAATAGATCTCATTTTGATCATTTTTGATACCTACTTCCCCCCTCCAAGAAGTCTGTAAGGCTTCAGTTTTGTTATTAAAAACCTTAAGGAGGTTTTTTTCTGATACTGATCTGAGTGGCCACACCATTTGCTCACTGTGCTTTTCTAACTTAAGACACTTAATTCACCTCTGTCTGCTCTCAGCCAGTGCCAGAGCTGCTTCTGTGAGGAGAACCTGCTTTCTTTGATGGGACCGTCTGTCTCCATGTTGGGCTCTCAGCCAGTCTGTTACACCCTGTCCCACCTGCCTCTCCCTGCTCCTTCCAGGCACCGAGCTACTCTATCCTTCTTTATTCCTTTTTCTCCTAGACATTTTTTTGTCTTTTTGAGATAGGGTCTCCCTGTGCATTTTAGGCTGGCCTTGAACTCACTTTGTAGCCCAGGCTGGTCTCGAACTCACAACGATGGCCTTCTGAGTGCTGGGATTACAGGTGTGTGCCACCACATCCAGCTTTGCTTTCCCTTTTAAAAATTGCAAAAGCAATCTCTTAGCTTCCCCAAAACAGGTTTTTATTTTCTTCAATAAAACTTTATTTTATTTTAATTTTTATTTTAAAGATAAAAGAATGAAAACATCTTAACAAACATACATTTAGAAAATAACACAAAAACAATACAAGGCATATATTCCTATCACCAGACAAGGTGATAGGAAATTAACAGTGGTTGTTCTATTACATATTGATCTCTTCAAATTGGATACTCAGATAAACAAATATAGACATGTAAGATTGATCATACACTTACACATTAACTGCTCTTTTATTTATTTATTTTTTATTTTTGGTACTGGGAATCAAACTCAGGACCTTATACTTGCAGGGAGGCGCTTGTGCCACTGAGCTATATCCCTGGCCCTAACTGCTCTTTTAATAGAGCAATACAAGTCAGTAGTACCCACTATGTTACCATCATGTGTATACATATGTACATATTTTCCCTTCTTTTCTCTTTTCCCTTATCCCAGTTGCTCTTTGCTTTTGACCAGTTTCTTTTCCTTTCACAGTGCCTATTGTACCTCCTAGGTTTTAATTTTTTTTTTATTTTAAAGAGAGGGGAAAAAAACAAAAAAAAGATACACAAAAAGAAGCTTTGAAAAATAATCTAGCAATAATCTCACCACCTGCATAAGTTTTTTTCTTTAAATTGTGGATCAAATCCCTACTTAGTTTTATATTGTTATCAGGCTGACAATATTTTTATATTAATCTTTTTAAACTTAACATTATAAGTAATGTTCTATGTTGCTATATCAATTGCATAATTAGAATTTTTATTGGCTGCAATAGTCCCATCAAGTATTTACAAGTATTTAACCATCCCCTTCTCTTGGACATTTAGCTGTGTGTGTGTGTGTGTGTGTGTGTATCTTTATGCTGTTATTTTTTTCTTTTTCTTTTTTTGGTACCGGGAATCTGAACTCAGGACCTTGCACTTGCCAAGCAGATGCTGTGCTGCTGAGCTATATCCCTGGCCCTTCTTTTTCTTAAAGATGGGTTCTTGCTATGTTGCCCCTAAGTGGTCCTTCCCTACTGGGCATGGGGGACACACACCCTAAATCCTTTGGTGGCACACAGTCTCAGAAGCTGAGGTGGGAGAATTGTAAGTTTGAACCCAGTCTGGGTAATTTAGCAACTTAAGACTGTCTCAAAACTACATATACATACATACATACATAGGATTGGGGATGTAGCTCAGTATGAAGGCCCTGATTTCAATCCCTAGTCCCTAATCTTCAACCCTGCAAAAAAAGTGATCCTCCCTCCTGAGCTTCCCAAGAGCTGGAGTCCACGCAGGCACTGCTGTGTCTGGCTTCTTTGTGCTGCTTTAGTGCTTTTTTCCTTTGTTTGGTACTGGGAATCGAACTCAGGACCTTGCGCTTGCCAGGAAAGCGCTTGTGCCGCTGAGCTGTATCCCTAGCCCTAATGCTTTAGCATTATAATTTTGTGTATGGCTTTTGGGACATTTTCTTTTTAGGATAAGTTCCTGGAAGTGGGTTTCCTGTCCTCTTGAGTTTGACGCTTTCCTGGCACTCCTGAGCAGCTACACTTCTTTCTAAAAGAGTTGTGCCAATGTGCTTGAATGGTGTCCAGCATTAATGTAGTGTAAGAAATGTGTAAGCCAGAAAGGGCCCTGGGTGGTGAACCAGGTGTAGGATTTAATGGCTGAACAAGGGGCGGAAATGGCAAAGATGCTCTTCCTTCCTCCCACAGGCTCGAGCCAGCCGGTTTCAAGCTGCATTTGTGTACGAGTGAGGTAGCTGGGGGGACGCTCTTCCCAGAGCTTGGCTCTCCTCACGGGCTGTGTAGTTCTGTAGCTTTGCTTTACTGGATTCTGAAGGAAGTGGGGGCATTAAGTTAAAGTAGCATGGTTGTTCTAGTTTTTGTGTATTACATTAAAGTAGAATTTAGTCTCCTCCCAAACTGTCACCTGGCCAGTTTGGTAACTGTGTGGTCCCTTGAGGGTCACCCTGCTCTTTGGGTTTATTCATCAACCAGTAACAATTTAGAGTAAAAAGTCAAGGAATAAAGTGTGTGTGCTGAGTGGAGAAAAAATTGCCTAGGTAGGAGATGATATATCAGGTGACATGTGTGAATCAGTTTTCTAAAGGATAGAAGCAAAAAAAAAGGGGGGGCTGGGGATTTAACTCAGCAGCACAGCGCTTGCATAGCAAGCGCAAAGTCGTGAGTTCGATTCCTGGTACCAGAAAAAAACAAAAACAAAAACAAACAAACAAAAAATAAAGGAGGGAAGCATTGAACAACACTTAAAAAGAGAGTGTGGCCAGGCATGGTGGTGCACATTTGTAATCCCAGCACTTGAGAGGCTGAGGCAGAAGGATCACTGTGAGTTTGATGCCAGCCTGGGCTACACAGCAAGACCCTGTCTAAAAACACCGAAAAAAGAAAAAAAGAGAAAATAGGGTGGGGCTGTGCGGCGGCCTGTTTGCTAGCCACAGTTCACCACAGAGGGTGCTAAGCCCAGATATTGGGCCATGTGGGACAGGTATGCCCAGTCTCATGGTCATGTAGTCAGCAGGGACTTGTAAGTACTGAGGTCCATGCCCTGCCAGGTAGGGTTGCCACTACATGTAAGTTTCTCTTTCCACCTCTCTCTCTATTTCCAGCATTTTAGAAACCTCTTAGGGTAAGACTCAGCATGTGACTTCCTGTCATAGAATGTGGAATTTTGTGTTTTTTTTGTTTTGTTTTGTTTTTCTTCCGGTACCAGGAATCAAACTCATGACCCTGTACTTGCTAAGTAGGCACTGTGCCGCTGAGCTAAATCCCCAGCCTGCTAGAATGAGGAATTTTGAAGCAGGGTGTGGTGGAGCATGCCTGTAATCCTAGCACTGGGGAAGCTGAGGCACGAGGACCCTTGCGAGTTTGAGGCCAGCCTGGACTACAAAGTGAGTTCCAGGCCAGCCTGAACTGCATAGGGAGACCCTGTCTCAAAAAGATAAAAAAAAAAAAAAAGTGGAATTCTGCATGGGTGTGGCTGCAGTGCGTGTGGGGCAGTGTAAAGGTGATGTCAGACAAGAGTCCAGTGTGGTCCTGGTGGTTGCTGATTGTGTCCTGTTTCTGTTACAGCCCTTGGTGAGCCTCCAGCCATGGGGGATATGAAAACCCCCGATTTTGATGACCTTCTTGCTGCCTTCGACATCCCAGACCCCACAAGCCTTGATGCCAAGGAGGCCATCCAGACGCCCAGCGAGGAGAATGAGAGCCCCCTCAAGCCCTCCAGCATGTGCCTGGATGAGAGTGTGTCCCTGTCTCACTCAGGATCCGCCCCGGATGTGCCGGCTGTGAGTGTCATCGTCAAGAACACAAGCCGCCAGGAGTCCTTCGAGGCAGAGAAAGACCACATCACCCCCAGCCTCCTTCACAATGGTTTCCGGGGCCCAGATCTGCCTCCGGATCCCCCCAACTGTGGGAAGTTTGACTCCACTTTCTTAAATGGAGATAGTGCCAGGAGTTTCTCTGGCAAGCTGGAGCCTCCCAAGTCCGAGCCATTACCCACCTTCAACCAGTTCAGCCCGATCTCTAGCCCAGAGCCTGAGGATCCCATCAAAGATAACGGGTTTGGGATAAAGCCCAAGCACTCAGACAGTTATTTCTCACCCCCTCCTGGGTGCGGGACTGTGGGGGGCCCAGTACTGGAGGCACTGACCAAGTTTCCAGTCCCAGAACTGCACATGTTTGATCACCTTTGTAAGAAAGAACCCAAGACTGAGCCCATGCCCTTGGAGAGCCAGGAGGAACACGCACGAGGTGGGCAGAAGGTGGCGGAGCCCCACAGAGAGCTGGATTCCAGCCGCTTCTTTGGGGAAGCTGTGGAGTTCAACAGCCACACTGGCCACAGTGTCGGTGAGCCCAAGAAGCCCGCCCCGGAGCTGGGGGCCTGCTCATCCGTGCCTCCCAGGCAGCGCCTCAAGCCGGCTCATTCCAGGTTGTCCTCGTGTGTTGCAGCCTTGGTGGCCTTGCAGGCCAGAAGGGTGGCCAGTGTCACCAAGGAGGATCAGCTTGGCCACACAAAGGATCCCTCAGGGGCCGCCAAAGAGGGTTCCAAAGGTAGCCCCAAAATGCCCAAGTCACCAAAGAGTCCCCGAAGCCCCCTGGAGGCCGCTCGGAAAAGCATTAAGCCATCGGACAGCCCACGGAGCATCTGCAGCGACGGCAGCAGCCGGGGCTCCCCGTCTGTGGCTGCCAGCTCCCCGCCAGCCATCCCCAAAGTCAGAATCAAAACCATAAAGACGTCGTCAGGGGAAATCAAACGGACCGTTACCAGGATCCTGCCAGACCCCGATGATCCAAGTAAGTCCCCTGTGGGGTCGCCTGTAGGGAGTGCCATTGCTGAGGCCTCAGGCGAGGTGCCAGGGGATGAGGGCGCAGCCCTGCCTGTGGAGGGGCACCTTTCGGAGGCAGGCACACGTTCAGGGAGCCCCCAGGGTGACAGGAAAGGGGACGAGAATGTGACAAAGGCTGGTGACTCTTCATCTCCCTGCAGCAGCTCTGTGCCCCAGGCCCCCAAGGGGACGGCCCAGGGCTCAAAGATGGGCAAAAAGCAACAGAATGCGGCCCCACAGGCCCCGGCCTCTGCCAGTCTGCTGCCCAAAGCCGTGCACCTGGCCAACCTCAACCTGGTCCCCCACAGCGTCGCCGCATCAGTGACGGCCAAATCCTCTGCACAGAGACAGAGCCAGCCCCAGCTCACGCAGATGTCGGTGCCCCTGGTGCACCAGGTGAAGAAGGCTTCCCCCCAGATTGTGGAGGTCTTCAACAAGGTCCTGCACAGCTCCAACCCCGTGCCCCTCTACGCACCCAATCTGAGCCCGCCCGCGGACAGCAGCATCCACGTGCCAGCCAGTGGCTATTGCTGCCTGGAGTGCGGGGACGCATTCGCCTTAGAGAAGAGCCTGAGCCAGCACTACAGCCGGCGCAGCGTCCACATTGAGGCGCTGTGCACGCTCTGCTCGCAGACGTTGCTCTTCTTCAACAAGTGCAGCCTTCTCCGGCACGCCCGCGACCACAAGAGCAAGGGGCTCGTCATGCAGTGCTCACAGCTGCTTGTGAAGCCCATCGCCGCTGACCAGATGTTCGTGTCAGTGCCTGCGAGCACCCCCGCCCCAGCGGTGGCCTCAGCCCCCTCCTCATCGCCCAAACATGGTGCCACCTCAGGCAACGGCAGCCCCCCGCCCCCAGCTTTTCCGCTCTACCCAGACCCTGTAAGGCTCATTCGGTACGGAACCAAATGTCCTGAATGTCACAAGCAGATGCGGGACTACATGGTCCTGGCTGCACATTTCCAGAGGACGTCGGAGGAAACCGAGGGGCTGGTAAGCAGGCCCTGGCTCCAAGGGGTTCCAGATGCGGGAGCATTGGTGGGGTCGAGATGTCTCACAAGAAGACTTCGGTTCACCTGGACGCAGCACTGGTGTTTACTGGGGGACAAGTCCGGCTCTTAACGAGGGGAGACCATGAAGATGTGAATGGGTTGTAACCGCCCTGCGGTCCACTCCGCCCCCAGCCTCTGGGCAGCGGGCCTGTCGTCAGGCCTGGGTGGGGCCTTGGCTGGATCACCGCCTAGGGGGTTGGCAGGTGTCAGCAACTGACCTGGCTTGTCCCCAGAGAACCTGGGACCTGGGTGGGTGAGTCACTGTCTCTGTGCCTCACTCTGTTCCTTTGAGGACTGTGTCTTTACTAAGATGTTCTGCCCTGCCATGGCCACACTGTTTTGCAGAGTCCCCTTGGGGACACTTCGGCAGGGCCAGCAGCAGGACTGGAGTGGGAGGAAGGAGGATGCAGGTAGAGGGTGTGTGGGTGCTGTGGCCTCCTCCTCTTCTCTGGATTTGTGCCACTGCTTGTGCCAATTCTTGGTTATGCTTGCTGAACTCTTTGTTTTAAGGGGCACTCTGCACTGGTGGCTGTCTGCAGTAGTAGGTCCCATCAAAGAGGTGGTTTCCCAACATGCTCCCTCACCTGCCCCCTGCAGCCAGGGCTGAGAGGCTTGGGAGGGGAGCAGGTCACTCTGTGAACCTCAGTTCATCCGGGACCATGCTGGTGTTGGTGCCAACAGGCTGCATACATTTTCCCAGTGCCTGCTGTGCCCTGCGCCCTGTGCTGTTCAAGGGATGCCACCTCCCTCTGGGAGTGCTCAGCAGCTCAGCGAGGACAGCTGCCACCACCCAACAGCTGCAGTGGGGGACAGACTGAGATTGAGGCTAAAACAGATGACGAACCTCAGAGGCACTCATTCATGGTGACTGCAAGTGCAGGGACAGTGGCACGGGAGGTGACATTTCAGCGGGCCCCAGGAGGTCGAGTTTGGAGGAGGGGAGGAACGGGTGTGCAGGCGCAGGGAGCAAAGGTTTGAGCTTAGGCAGTGTGGGCTGCGGAGTGGGGGAGAGGCTGTGGGACAGTGCTAAGGAGAGGCAGCTCCAGCCTGGTAGATCTCCGGGTTTCTTGGAGTCTAGGGTGCCACAGAGTCACTCTGTGGCCTCTCATCCTCTGGTTTCCTGTTGGTGTTTTCCTGCCATGGAGTCAGATGAGAGTGTCCTGGCCGCCGTTCCCTGGGCCTGTGGGTGCGCCACAGCATATGTCCTCAGTGGGGCTGGAGTCCTTTTTGATCCTGTGATGAGGACCTGGGGTGGCAGCAGAGGCGGAAGCCTTTGGTTTTCTACCCTGCATCTTAGCGTCTTCTGAAGTCTGTGTAGGCAGAGGTCAGGGTTTGGGCGCCCAGGTCAGCACTCTCATCACCCACCTTTGGTGTTCTCCCCTCAGGCCAGACTGGGAGTGTGGCAGAGGCTGGTGGGCTCTCAGCCCCTGGAGTCCTGCATGCATACGCCCCCTTGCCATGGAGCCGGCCTGGGCTCAGCAAGGGGCTGAGGCTTGAGCTCTGGGATCTCAAACTGACCTCTGTGGCCATTGGGCTTCTGGGTTTCTTTGTGACAGTGCCAGGCTTCAGGCCAGTGTCCAGGCAAGGAATGCTTAGATGGGGTGAGGTGGGCTCCCCACCGACACAGGCTGCAGTATGGCAGCTTGGGTTTCTGTCACCTGTCTGGACAGCTGTCTGCTGTCCATCTGCCTCCCTTCCAGTGGAGCCTTCTTATCCTCCCCCATGGTCCCAGGCACCTTGGAAGGAGGAGGTCCGCACAGAGGAACTTTTTTCCTTTTCTTTCTTGTTCTATTGTCATTATCACACTTACTAAAAGGAATCACAATTCCTTAGTATTACCTAAGGCAAGTCCACACTTCTGCAGTTATGTAGGGAAAAGAAGTCTTCTTATAGCAGTATGAGGACCTGGTTAAAAAATTTGTTTTACATTTGGGCTTTTTTTTTGCTAATTATTTTGTAATGCTGGGGATGAAAGCTAGGGCATTGCACACACTAGACAAGTGCTGTGCCATTGAACTACACCCTAGCAGGGCCTTATTTGAAATCAGCTTCCAAACACAGGCCACTGTGTTTCTGTTAGCTCTCAGTCACTTGGTCTGTGGCCCCGCCTTCCCACCCCACCCGCTGTGGCCTGGTTGAAGAAACTAAGTATGTGTCCTGAGAATTTTCCAGGATAGTCCTGAGGGTCACTTCCTCGTACAGGTAATTTTTCTTCAGTGCACCATATTTTGTCCCCCAACAAAAATTTAGCAAGAATGATTTTTTTGTTTTTGTTTTTGTTTTTCTTCCGGTACTAGGAATTGAACTCATGACCTTGCGCTTGCCAGGCAGGCGCTGTGCCACTGAGCTAAATCCCCAGCCCCAGCAAGAATGATTTGATTAGGAGCTGAGGGTGTAGCTCAGTGGTAGAGAGCTTGCCCAGCACATACTGGGCCTTGGGTCCCATCCCCAGCCCGAAAACAGGATAAAGTTGCATACAGCCTTGCCTTCTCTCCTGTCCCTCCCCTCCGCTCTCCCTCCCCTTCCTTCTCTTTTTTTTTTCTCCCCCACCCCTTCTCCTCTTCTCTTCTTTTCCTTTCTTTCAGCAGTACTGAGGATGGAGCCAGGGCCCTTGCACTGAGCTGCACTGAGGCAGCATTATGACAGGGAGGCTGGGCTCTGGGGCAAGAGCTGTCACGGAGAGCCATCAGACCACTGAGACCCAGCAGTGGGAGGAGGACACAGAGACCCGGCTGGGCCTGTGGCCGCTGTCCTTGTGCTCCTGCAATGGCCCACTGTGCATGCAGGGTGGCTGGGGATATAGCTCAGCGGTACAAGTGCCTGCCTGGCAAGCACAAAGTCCTGGATTCGATTCCCAGAATCAAAAAAAAAAAAAAAAAAAAAGACAATGTTGCATGCAGGGTGTATTTTCTCACTTTTCTTTGACCACTGATGAGCACTTCTTTTCAGAACACTTTCTTTCTTCTTCATTTTAAAGCACTTCTTTCCTTCTTTCCAAGGAAGAAGAACAGCATCCCCAGCCCTTTTCTAGTTTTTATCTGGAGACAGGGTCTTGCTAAGTCGCTAAGTTGCCCAGGCTGGATTCAAACTTGTGATCATCTTGACTCGGATTCCCAGAGTGCTGGGAGTACAGGCGTGTGCCACTGTCCCAGCTGCATACAGTTTCAGTGTGGTCAGTGGAAGATAGGGACAAAAGAGAGGAAGGAAAGAGTGAGAGAGGAATGAATTTGATTAGATTCAGATGCAGTTTTAAAGATGAAGGGGTAATCCCAGCACTTGGGAGGCTGAGGCAGGAGGATCACTGCAAATTCAAGGCCAGCCTGGGCTACATAGTGGAGCCCTGTCTCAAAAAACCAAGAAAGAAAAGAAAAGAGATAGAAAGGCAAGCAGGCAGGTTGTTTTTTTCTTTTTCATGGTTGTAGGAGACACGGATGCCTGATTATCTTTTAACAATGCTAACTTGGGCCGGGGATGTAGCTCAGCGGCATAAGAGCTTGCCTGGCAAGCCTGAGGTCATGAGTTTGATTCTCGGTACCAAAAAAAAGATGCTAACTTGATTATTGAGTTTGGGTGGTGATATTCTGATCCTTTAATTATAAAGTCAATCAAACGCAGGGAATACTGAGCTATATTTCTGGCCTTTTAAATTAAAAAAAAAATTGTATTTTGGAGACAAGGTCTTACTATGTACTTCAGGCTAGCCTTGAACTCACTATGTGGTCTAGGCTGGCCTTGAACTCATGGTGGTCATCCTGCCTCAG